ATAACTTTTAATCTAAGTTAATCATGAAACTTACCCTATTTTCTCGTTTTATTTTATTCTACTAGTCTGATGCTACACGTATAACTTTTAATCTAAGTTAATCATGAAACTTACCCTATTTTCTCGTTTTATTTTATTCTACTAGTCTGATGCTACACGTATAACTTTTAATCTAAGTTAATCATGAAACTTACCCTATTTTCTCGTTTTATTTTATTCTACTAGTCTGATGCTACACGTATAACTTTTAATCTAAGTTAATCATGAAACTTACCCTATTTTCTCGTTTTCTTGCTGCTGTGCTTAATCCTGAGGTTGGGGTGAGTTTAAAAGACAGTTCAGATTCAGATGCCATTTTATTCAATTTCTGTGCACGTTCCTTTACACTTCCTGGACTCACGGTCAACTCACCAAACTCCCTCCCCTTGGGACTTTCCTTATACAAAAAAAACAAAGAAAATTATACAAATATACACACATGCATACAACTAATAATAATTTTATAGGAATTTACAGACTTTTTCTTTGGACCTTTCATCTGATTATCTCAATAACAACAAAAATCTCAAATTTATTGCACTCATTGTATACCTCTCCTATGTCAATTCAAGCTTCAGAGGGACCAAACTCTGTAACATTGTTCGAAGTACTCGTACGACATAGTACAGTAGTCTCATGTATTACTGATCTTTTAAATACGTAAATGCTGTCGTGTGCGGATCTACAATTCTCTATACTTTTGATTTGACACTTGACGGATATATGCATTTTTGACGCTCAAGGAGGACGTATTTACTCGTGAACGTGTGCCGCACGTGATCCTTCATATCCTGTTTGTTTATGCCTGTCGCTGTAGGCTTTCTGCTTTATAAAATATCTCATGTACATGTAAAATGATAGCGCTACGGAGGAGCCAGAGCAAGTTTTCAAATATCGCCTGACATCCTGCAGCCCCGAACCTAATATAATAGAACACACTATCCGATAATATGATATATACGTAGACGCACTCAGGTGCAAATCCTTCTGAATTGTTGAGTGATTGTCAAAGCTTCACCGAGTTTCACTTTTATTAAAAGAACAATTTAGAACAACCAAACACCATGTAAAAGTTGTAACATATTATATACCGGGCCTTCTCAAGTGAGGCGAATAATACGGATTCTCTGCATATTTTATCACGTGGACAAATTGTAACTTTTGTATTTATCCTAACCATAGAGTCCGTACAATCTACATAATACATCTCTGAAAGGGAAACTAGCTGTAAAAACCGTCAACTATAACTCGGCAAAAGTTCGAAACTTACAAGAATAATGAGTTATAAATTACGACTGACAAACATAACGATTACCTCAGTTAAAATAAATTAAACACAAATCCTGTAATTCTGGAGTTATCTATTATAACACCACTTGTTTCATCTCATTGTCGCTGCTAATCTACTGCGTATAAAAAGTAAAAACTGGTAACCTGAAATCTGGCTGGTCGGTGAAATTAACAAGTATGGCCACTAGAGAAAAAAAAAGTTTGTTTGAAGTTAAGCACAAAGCAACAAATCTGTGCTCTGCCCACCACGGGTATCGAACACCGGATTCTAGCGTTGTAAGTCCGCAGACATACCGCTGTGCCACTGGGGAGCAAAGAAAAGAAAATCAACGTGAAAATAATGATCAATTTACATAGTTCACTTGTTTTCACACCCGGAAACACTGACTTATAATGCTATGTATAGAACTTGGTGTGTGTAGAACAGATAACGGGTAGAAACTCCATATGTAACTTATTCCCGGTCTATAGAGTCTGCTCATTTCCGCTACAGAACAGCAAAACTGGCTGCTAAATAGATCTGTATTAGTTGAACAGTATAAGCCATGCCGACCGTTGTGTACGTGTATTATCTCTTTGTTTTGGGCTATCTGCTGTGTCCATCGCGGGGATCGAGCACCCGGACTTAACGTTTTAAGTCCGTAAACTTACCGTCGTCCCATCGGGGTACACAGGTATTATTCACACAAACCGTGATCCGGGACTACTTTATTGAATTATAAGCACGTATATTGCTCATACCACTGAAAATACCACATAGAGAACTTCTAAAAATAACTTTTTCACTTATAAATGTGGTCAACTTCTGGTCGTATATGCTCTCGGTGGTTAAAAAAATATTGTAACTGAATTGCAAAGAAACATATTGACGAAAATTAAAAACAAATTTTTTGACCAACAGTTAGGGCAAAATTAACCCTCTGAAGCCAACGATTTTGTAAAAACTGTAACATTTCTAAAAGCGGGTCGCGGGATAACTTCGAACAGGCTTGAAATAAATTTGTCGTCAGAAACATTTTTTTTAGGTGGCTGATAAAGGGGATTAGGAAATGGATAGATTATTGACCTATTTATTTTCTCATGTTTGTATTGATAGAAGGGAAAAAGAGTGAGTAATACTAACAAGGGTTTTTCTTTACAGATAAATAACCCTCTTTTGTGTTTTTTGTTAGAAGTAGGGTGAAAGATTTGATTTTGAATTTCGCGCAAAGCTACACATGGGCTATCTGCGCTGGCCGTCCCTAATTTAACAGTGTAAGACTAGAGGGAAGGCAGCTAGTCATTACCACCCACCGCCAACTCTTGGGCTACTCTTTTACCAACGAATAGTGGGATTGACCAGACACATTATAACGCCCCCACGACTGAAAGGGCGAGCATGTTTGGTGTGACGGGGATTCGAACCCGCGACCCGCAGATTGCGAGTCGAGCGCCCTAACCACTTGGCTTTGCCAGGCCACATTTCGAACTTAAAAGCTATATCACGGTCTCAAATTTTGTTTTAAGTGGGGGAGAATCACAACTTCGAGTTGTTTAGTATTTATGTTATAATTGCTCACCCGTTGTAGCTTTGTTTTTACTCTGGATATTTGTGTGTAGCCAAACATTCATTTCGAACTATAGGGAAACATCTGGTCAACAGAACTCACCACCAACTCTTGGTCTACTCTAATCGAATCGTGGTATTTACGATGAAAAACCAGTGACCCACTAATTAGTATTAACAGTTCTTAAAAACTAATTTTTTGACTCACAAACGTACCTCGTTGATAAACAAGAGCAAAACATTATATAAAAATTTCCTCCCTAACATATAGACATATACGTAGAAAACTGGGACATTTCTTTAAGGATAGCTTGTGTGTCAGATGTTTGGTTATGGTATGGTCGCCAATTGTCAATTAAAAGGCTTTTACTTACACTTCTTAACAGTTTAGATATACACTGTGTTGTTGTCAGGCTTAGGATTTTTCGACAAAAGGTGTCTGTGACTTGTTGACGATAAATGAACAGCACGCACTTCACGTGTTTTCAAAATATTGTATATATTCAGAACAAGTTAAATATATGTACAACAAATTCTTCACACTATAGAGGTTATAGGCATATCATAGACACTATATATATATATAGTTCTCTTCTTGTTGTCAAAAGTCCACTTAGGCCTATTCGATTGCTTTAGAATTTCAGTTGACAAGCCAAACTATCTTCTCTATTACTATCGCACTAGTATTCTGTGTATGATTCACTTACAATTGTGGCGCGAGTTACCGCAGTCCTATACTACTCTTCCAGTAATAGTTTGGTCTTCTTTCTTCAAAATATCCTCTGTTCCTTTTGTCAAAGTGCACTCAGGTTGAGCCAATTACTTTAGAACCACGCTTTGACGGAATATATTATTTTTCGTATTTCCTTTCTACTGTTAGTCTTACTCTAACATATTAAACGTTAGGCCCATTTTAATGGTTAGGCCTATCATTTCTACGGCAGTTAACTTCACGCCGAACTTTTCCTTAACTGTAACTTTCCACTCTTCTGCTATTGTTTGTCTGCTGTTTTCACTCGTCTCACACTATTTATATGTTTATCACTTAATCATTTGCTTTTAACTCTTATTATAACCAAAACTAAACAATTATAAAATATTCATTCACAAAATAAATTAATCAATAATATATTTTATATCATGACATTGTGACATGGACTTTTTGTTAAGAAGAACATTTCGTTACTGCATCCAAATTAATGTCACGTCGTTACAAGTATTTTGGTGACTGGTGAATTTTATTACTAGATTTACCACTATGATACATATATTATGTTTGCAGATGTTCAAGTTATTAAAGGTATTTTGAATTCAAATCAAAGTATGTTAAATTACAATAAATGTTTTTGTAGACCTAAATCGTTTTCACTGTAATTTATGTTTTATGTCAGGAGAATAAATGAATGTGATGAAATATATAGGCTCGGATGTCACGTAAACCGGATGTTCAATATGAGTTGACCTTGGCAACACCCTAAAAAGCTTTTCAAAACTAAATTCATGATTAAACTTACTTTATATTATCAAAATTTAAGATAATACAGTTTAGTAATTTTGTTAATTATTTCGGGATTTGTTTTTATTATTATTTTTGTATCGATCATGAAATAAACATCTACAACTGATACAATCCAAACCTCGACGCTCGTAATTTACTCTTTTATTCAAATCTGACTTCAAATAATAAAAAAATGCTCTTAAGTATTAATAAATTAAAAATATTTTAATTAACATCACTTAAATAAATCAAAGCTGATAGAATTTTATTTCAAATTATTTATTAAGTAATAGTTTCCAAAGTTGATTAAAAATAAATCAACATATAGTTTATGAACTTGTTTGTTTATAATTAAGCACAAAGCTACACAATGGGCTATGTGTGCTCTGCCCACCCTGATTCTAGCGTTGTAAGTCCGCAGACATACCGCCGTGCCACTAGAGGGCTATAATTTATGAAAACAATAGTTCTCTACGTTATGAATTAAACTCGATCAACACAATTTAAAATTTTAATTCGTATTATTTATTTATTTTGTTGAGCAACGTAAGTCTTTGAACTCGTGAACAATAACTTCGACGCCCTTCTAGTTGAATTGTTTATAAATCAGCGAAATTCACATACGTATCAATTTCTTATTGTCTACAAAACCTGCAAATAAATGAATCGTCGATGTAATTTATCGTGGAGCACGTGATAAAGCATACACCCTAACTGATATATGGTTCAGGTCAACCTAACTTCGACAGTTATCAGATTCATGCTGAAATACCACGGACTTACTTATAGTTATGTTTACATGTTGAAAATTGTTTATCTCGGCAAAATGGCAAGATTCCATTCATTTTATGCAAACAAACCGTAGTTAAGTATTTTCACGCAACATAAACGGGGCGCAGATTTCTTGGTACGTTCGTTTTGGAATGCATGGACAAAAACTGTAGCGCAACCACTGAATCCAAAATTAGACACGCGTATACTAGCAACATTAAAATTAAAAGGCAAAATAACATAGCTAGAAGTACTACATACTAGATAACAACCAGATGTTAGTCACATTGAAATAATAAAAAAAAAGTTTCCAATGATCATCACAACAGAGAACATAAGAAAAGAAGTGTAGAAAAAAATACGCGAATTAAACCTCAAAAACTCAATTTAGAGATAAATTTCAACTGAAGAAAGATTAAGATGGACTTTCAACATGATTGTAACTTGTAAGAACCCATGAGTGAAAGCAAAGGAGAATGTTATAGTATATCGTTCCACTGCAATTGCCATAACCAGTGATTTGGTCCAGGACTAGGGCCCATGCCCATCAGTGTGTGTTTTCTTATAGCAAAGCCACGTCGGGCTATCTGCTGTGTCCACCGAGAGGAATCGAACCCCTGATTTTAGTGTTGTAAATCCCAAGACTTACTGCTGTCCCACCGAGGAACAGGGCCCATCAGAATGGCTAGGATACTAAATACTTAAATAATTTTTATTTTAGGCTTATATAAATTCATATAATTTGATTATTTTTCCAATCATTTCATTTGTTGTGAGGCAGTTTGGAAAAACTATATAAAAAATTCTTCCTTTTGTTTTATAATTAATTTTTTTTTCACATGGTGCAGATTTGATGATTCAGTCAATATAAGGACCCAATATTAAACCTATCTTGTAACCCAAACATGGATTACAAGATACAATGAAGCAGAAAGACCATACTGTACAAATGATCCCTGATTTGTTACACACTACTGTTGATGCCTTATATGAAATATACTAACGGAACTAAAGCTTCTGTAGATAGAACTTGTTATATAGTATGAGTGTGTATGATAAATATCTTGGCGCTCTGAATAATAGACATCAGTTTTGTCAGAATAGTAATATGACCTAGATAAGTGCTGATAGAAAACAGATATGGTGCAGATGACACTTGGATAAATTTACAAACATATCCAATTACTAGGAAAACAGATTTCAGAATTGCTCAAGAGAAAGATCTTTTGGAAAAGGTGATAACAAGCAAACTGTCCACATATATATACGTAGCAGTGAATATCAGCCCATAAAGAGAAAGCCACATTATTATGAAAAAGTGTTTTGAAATGAGCCACTCTGATAAAGACATACTTAGTTATAACACAACCAGAAAAGGAAAACATTAAACTACAACCATATCATGCTGTGAAAGAGACCAAAAACCATCTTAGTCCAGTTCAAAAAACATTTGATGCTAAACTATACAAGTATCTATATTCATCATCCATATGTTTAAAAGAAAATATAAACATCTGTCAAAATCTCCTGTATCTTAAAACAACAAGTTTTCTATATACTTCTTTGGACTTTCAAAAACATATAAGCAGAAGTGTGGTCTAACCCTATCTTTAGAATAGAAGACCAGAGACTTTTTAGTCCTAGTATTTCCCATGTGTAAAAATAGAGACAAAGTATCGAAGTTCAATTCCGAAGGACACGAAATATCAACAAGTTTAAAGTACCTACTGATGAGAAACAGATCACAAGTCTTGAAGGAACCAGTGGATAAATAAATGGCAGAAGTCAGAGAAAAGCAGTAGTGTGTGTTCATCTCATGCAAGTACATCTACAAAATCCAAACCTAAAAAAATTATAATGTAAGCCCTAGCTGAGAGGTTCCATCAAACACTGGTTTTAAGTCATCAGTAATTAAATATCCTTTCAATTAATTACCCAAGTAGTGTGTGTTCATCTCATGCAAGTACATCTACAAAATCCAAACCTAAAAAAATTATAATGTAAGCTCTAGCTGAGAGGTTCCATCAAACACTGGTTTTAAGTCATCAGTAATTAAATATCCTTTCAATCAATTTCTCAATAAGCAAGAAAACCAAATGGTCAAGGTTTTTTGAAAAAAAAGAAAACCTTCAAGGGAAATTACAGAAAATTTGTATTGATACAATGATTGAAAAGAGTAATCTCCTAAAGTCCAAGCCTAAGAATGAAACACTGCACCACAATAAAGTAATGAAGTGTCTAAAGAAAATAATGAGAGAAAAACACGAAAAAAAGTCTGCTTAGAGTTACATTCTGAAGGATCAACTGACAACTTTTAAAGTAATAAACAAAGCCTTTATGAGCAAAGTGCACAAGATAATGGACTGGCAGAAATAAATTTTAAATCCAACATAGGAGTATTTAAAACAAAACCAGTTTATATTTTAAAATAAGGACTAACATCTAAACCAGAATTAAAAGAAAAAATGGGTCAAGAGAAAAAAAAAGACTCATAAATAGGCACACTAGAAAGATGACCTCTACCAATACTTTTTCTGAATTTACATGACCATTTAGTTAGGGATAAACCATGTAGTAGCCAGTTATGTTCATGCAAGAGCACTGGTATACCACCCAAAAAGATTTGCACAAAAGTTACAGAAGAATTCTGAATGACTCAAACAAAATTTAAAAGGCTCAGAATAAGAACTTCAGAATCTTCAATAGAAGTATGAAATAAATTTTAATGGCCGTAAGTCCATAATAAAATAAATATGAAAAACTTTCAAAAAAAAAAAGAAAATCTTGAATGGAAGAAGTGATTCCAAAGAAAAGGGTAGTATTATAGCAGAATTATTTTAATTGACGAAAAAAAAACACCTGAAAAACTGCATCACATCAACAACAGGGCAAAATTAAGAAAAATTGCAATGAATATTTAATTTTGCCATAAATGATGTGGATTTCAGTTTTCCTAAACATGAAATGGGAAAGCAGCATTCAGTTTTCATGACACTTATTACTAACTCATCATACTTTGAAGGTTAGAGAAAATTGTAATTTTGCAGATGTACTAAATTGTTATGAGGGAAGGGTACCTTAAATATATAAATATTTTCTGGTGTGACCATCAGCCAATTACACCTGTGAGATATTTCAGAGAAGCTTAATTCTTACAAGTTCTATTTTATTCTATCCTTTCTCTCCAACTAAATAAAATCTAAAGTATGGTAAGACTTAGATTAAGACCAACATGAAAAAAGTTGAATTATTAGAGGAGAGAAAGCAATGCTACCCAGAAGTGATATATTTGAAATAATAAGATCAATCTTTGCCCTAATTGAAAATAAATTTCAGATCTGTACCATAATTAAAGATATGAAAGAAGACACACTAATACAGCAAGTCTCTTACCAAATAACAACAACAACAACATATTAATTTAATGGGTAGATGTAGTATACCTGAACTATCTGCCTTTCTTCACTAAATTGTTTAACTCTTTCCTCAATTTTAATTCCTCTGTTTTCCTTCTTTCTTGAAAGACTCTTCTGTCGTGGTGGAGGACGTGGTGGTTGATTTGGTGGCATTTCCTTGTATTGCTGTTTTGTAACAGATGGAGTCACAACTTCACCTGGGCTACCAACAACATATTGAGGCATGTGATTTCCTGAAGGAGGTCCACTAACAACTGTATTGGTAGTTAACATCACAGTTTCTAATAATCTTGTACTTGACATCTCTTCTACTTCCTTTTGATATTTCCTGTTTGCTGTAGGATCCATGGCAGGGCTTCCATGACGTTTCTGACTTGATGTCTGAGGAGACTGATCTGATGACAAGTTTTCAAAACTTGAATTTGACTGGTCATATACTTGACTTAAAGGTTTAATGTCCCAATACTTTTTCTTTAATGTCAAATACTTTACACCCTGAAAAAAATCCAGAAAAATAAAAATAAACACATTAAAACATGTATACATACACAACGTACATACATACATAATGAATTTCTTCTATGTATCTGAATATGACCATGTAGCAACTATGTGAAAACGTTGATTTAAATTTTTCATGACATTTCTTCATCATACAACACTGTGTACATGTGTATACATACACATATAGTCTTGTGTCTATATTGGTATGTCTCTAAATGTCATACTGAGTTGTTGTGAATAATACAATATTGCACTTTGGCTCAAAGAGTCATTGATTTAGAGAACTCTGGTTGTCTGAAGTATTAAGAACAGAAACAAAGCAAAATAGCTACCCAGTAAAACACAAAATATCCCGAGAGACTGGTATATATAGCAATAACATGTGTAAGAAAGTTGAAGGCCATAATATGCTGAGTAATAAATACTTTAATGATACAATAACTGAATTATCCTGTAAATAGAACTTAAAATATAACACAAATCAAACATAAACTAATAAAAGAGTATGCTTTAAAACATTTGTTCTAACACTGGTTTTAAATTAGTTTGTCTATAATAATTATTTTCATTGTCTTTAATAAAAATCACAAAATCTGTTGAATTCACACCTGATCATTACATACTACAAAATTAGAACTTTAAAGACAGCTCCATAAAAATATCAGTAAGAATATCTTAGTTTTTGAGATACAAACAATAAATCATTAAAAAAACAAGTAGTATATTGTTACTATCAATTAAAAATGGATTGAAACTAACTACAAAAGTTTTATGGCTATGAAGTCATAGTGTGTTTACCTCTTCTTGTTTAATTATGGCCAAGGTATTGACATAATCTTTAAACTGGTTTCTAGCTTCAACTGAAATAAAAAATAAAGTGCATGGAATTATTACAAGTAAGCTTGGCAAACATACACACCATGAACCAATTCATTTCATGGAATAGTCTATTTTCCCTTAAAAACACGACTGAATGTGACCTGCATCTACTAAAGACATAGGAATACATTCCTGTATTATCAGACCTTGATGTATTACCTAAACTATTTTGGATTGCTAAACTGCACAAAACACCATACAAATACAGATTTATTGCTAATACCAAGATTTGTCAATTGTATGAGGTAATGGTTTAAAATATTTTACAGATCATTTAAAAAAAATGCTGTAATATTTTAAATGACAGAACTGGTATTAATCTGTTCATTATAATTAGTAATCCCACAGAATGTAAAGAGAAATTTAAAGGCTTTGAGGCAAAAACAACTCAAGTTTTCAATTTTAGTAATACTTACACCAATATCCCTATTGATAAAATTAAAAACCCTATTAATCAAGCATTTCAAGATGTTTTGAAATATTCTCTAAATTAATGTTTTGCTGTAGTAAACACAAATGTTTCATAATAAATGAATTCTTATAAGTTCTGTATATTTCCCTTCACAAAGCACTTGTCAAATATGGCTAGCATATCTTCCAACAGATACAAGGAATACCTACGGGAGGTAACTGTAATCCAGATTTATATTTATTTGTACTTGAATTATCATATATAACAGATCTTAGAATGAAAGACTATAACATAGCTTTGTACATTAATCACACTCATAAGTATATTGATAAATTTCTTTTATAGGCTTTCTCGACACAGATGAACAAATTTATCCATCAGAACTCACCTTGTAAAAAAAAAAACTTTCACTACAAATAAAGAACCTTCCCTGGATTCAGATATCAGCATTGTAACCCAATATTTAAGTTCAAAGCTTTCAATAAAATGGATACTTTTAATTTTGAAATTATAAACTTTCTGTTTCCAAGTACAAATATTCCAAACAAGTCATGTTTTACAGTGTTTATTACTCACAGCTTATTAGGTACAATAGAATTTGTTCAACATTACAAGACTTCATAGACAGATCTCATAAACTCACTCTCATTTTCATAAACAAGGTTTTCCTAGAGTATTTTGAACACTAGATTCATTCAGTTTTGTGAGAATTTCAACAATCTTCTTGTCATGAGATAAAAAGTTTCACAAGATATCACATTTTATCAACTTTCATACCCATACTTTAATAACTTAGAAATTTTTAAAATGAACTATTGTTGTATGGTGACTGCCATTAGTTTTACCTCCCTTTTGAAGCTCTTACTATAGTTAATGCAATATGTAAAACTGTTTTCTATGTAGTATAACATTACATCATTAATTAAGTTACATTAGTTTTTGCTAATGACTTTAAATGCAATATTTAACATTGTTGTTATTTCCTCTTCTAAATCCTATTATTAGTGTGAGCTCTCTTGGTTCTCATCACACTTTATTTATTACTTCCTGCTACCCACTCCTTGTGTGCTTTAAAGTGACAGGGGTTAGTAAGAGTCGAAATAGTCATGTTAAACACATACATCATTGTATGTTTAGTATATTACTGTTCTTTTCATTACATTTAACTCTGTTATGTTTTATTAACAGTATCAGTATCCTTGTATTTTATTGTATGATTCTGTTATTTATTATTTGTATATTTTCATAAACATTAGATTTTTTGCTGCATGATCTGTGATTTCTAGGCATTTGACTCTGTCTATAACTAAATATTAATGTGTCATAGCAATTTATCCTGGTTGTCAAGCTACTCTACAGTTAAACTGTCAAAGCCATTTAAAGATCTTTCATTGTTCACAAGACATTTTTAGGGTATATTGTAAAGATTTGGCAATTATTGATGTCTTAACTCTTCATTAAATCTATGACAGTGCATGAAAAACTATTGTTAATGTTACTTTCATTAGCAATATTGATCATAATGTTTAATACACGTATCTATATAATTTTTTATTATTGTATTCTTATTGTAAAGATTATTTAACACTGTTCACTTAGCACCTGGATTTAGGACTAACCTAAATTTTCCAAGTTGACCAAATCTCATGAGACATTACTGGGATTACAGCCAAAGGTATTGCTATCAGCAAAAGTACACAACTGACAAAACAATGCATTCTAATATAAGTATGAATCTGAGAACAGTATACATAATTAGTTATAATCATTGCTATCTTTTACATCAATAACATAGATGAAGGAATGGTTAATAGATTATTTACATCTCTGATGATATTATGGTAATGGTTTTGGGTGTTGCCGGCTATGAGTGGGATGCTACTACCTTACAAAAGGATTTGGATTGTTTGGTGAGTTAGGCAAATAAATGACAGATGACCTTGAATTATAATAAATGCAAGGTAATACATGTGGGACATAATTTGAATTATGAGATTAATTCTGATGGGAATACCCTTATCAGTACTGTGGAAGAAAAGAATCTTGATCTTCTAGTTGACCAATCTATTAAGTCATCAAGGTAAGGTGCTGTTAATGGAGGCAGGATGGATAGGATTTTAGATTTATTTACAAATACTGAATACAAGTCTAGAGAAGTTATAATTTTATTATATAGGTCAGCGATTCCCAAACCTTTTCAGACACAGAACACTTTTGAGCTCTAAAACTATTGACAGAACACTTAAAAACATTGTTATCAGATGAACTTATTTTTTGCTTTAAAGTTACTTCTTGTATGTATGTATTAATATTATATGTATGTAAAAATATATGCAAGTTACTAATATAAGTAATAATATACTAGTACTAGCACAGTAGTAATACATATTAGAAACCTGGGAAAGTGTCAAAATTAATAATAACCTAGTCATTAATAAAAAACTACTATGTTACCTAGTAATACTAATTTAGTTATTTATCTAGTACTACTATATTTATCTACTATAGTATATATAGCACTAGTACTAGTAGTACGACTGTAACTAGTACTATATTACTATGTTATGGATTTAATAAGCCACTTACTTTGCTTTTCTTGATCCTCACAAAAAAAGTATTTCTTGAAATGCTTCACTAAATCTTGATTTTTTACTCTTCCACCTTTGATTACAAAATATTGCCTAACATCCTCGATATTTAACCCCCCATTGTCCTCCATTATGAAAATTGTAGATAAACGTATAATTCATCGTTTGTTTATAGAGGGCGCTTTATGGTTTATAAAAACGTGATTTAATTAGACAGAAATATTATGGTATATAACGCCTTATTTTGGCGAAGCAATCTATAAATCGGTGTTTTGTGTGACTTTGCACCACAAAAAGACTGATATATCCTAATAATAACTGACAGATAAACATAACGTTTCCACCAAGGTTGTGTTTGTTGTATGCTCAGCCGACTTGATGAGCTCTACTATTGAACGAAAAGCCTTGCCGTAGCAACATACGGCAGACAAGATGTGTGGTCGAGACTGGTTTAAATACTTCTTGATGGAAACCCATATTGGGTCAAAAGAGCAAGATTTATGAAAATCTTTATCACTTTTATATCAAAGATTACAAACAGTATTTAAGAAAGAACATGCCTGCGTGTTTGAATTAAACTTTTCATTGTAGTAAATATAAATGTATTACCTAGAATAGTAATCATGAGATTTCGAAAAAATATGTATGAACCTTCAAATTACTCACTTTCTTATACTGTTCCCTACCGGTGAGGTCTACATATCACATCATATTGAATTTAATGTTTTTGCATGTTACGAAACACAGTGTAAAGAACATTACATGGGGCCAAATTACAATTTTTCTGTGCAAAATACATAGAGGACTCCAGCAGTAATTAGTGGAACTAGTTGCGATATCGATAATATATTTGTATGATTCATATCTTATTGAGCTTGTTTGTTTATTTGTAATTAAGCACAATGCTACACAATGGGCTATCTGTGTTCTGCCCACCACGGGTATCGAATCCCGGTTTCTAGCGTTGTAAGTCCGCATACATGCCGCTGTGCCACTGAGAGGGGGGGGCTTATATTATTAAGAATCCTGTAATCAACAAAGACATAGACCCACAAGCGACTTGGCGAACAACGAGTTTAGAAACGTGTTTAAAAGTTATTAAAGTCTAAGGTTAATTGTTTATGTATATCTTTATATTTCGTTCGTTTT